ATATGTCGTTTGTGTAATGCGCTTTGGCTCCCATTAAGTTTAAGTTCAAATTAAAGTTCAAGTTGTTGTTCAGAGTTATTTGGTATGAAAAAAGGAACGACAGACAAAAATAAGAAAAAAAGTACTAAAACATTAACAGTAATTCGGACATATCCCGAACCATTTGGTCCTGCCGTTTTTTCCTTAGTTCTCAAATGGAAGCTGTAAATTAATAAATAAATTAAAGATTCTTATTAACCCTGTGTCTCGCCGAATAATTCTGCTGTCAGTGTAAAAGCGTAAATTAAATGTTGACTGACTGTACATTAACCGGTACACTTAACGGAGGAAAACATGTTTTTCTGTAGATGCTTTTATCTTGATCTTGAAGAATAACTCCTATACAAGTTTTATAACAATTCATGGAGGTTTACAAATTTATCATGTCAAAACAGTTTAATTCGGTAATATTAAATGCATTAAAAAAACCTTATATAGAAATAAAGAAATGTGGTATGATTGCCAATGAGACAACTCTCAACCACATACCAAATTTCGAGTTGAACTTCGAGTTTGAGTCACATTTAAAGATAGAGTTCCGAATTACAATTGAACTTCAACTTTAAATTTGAGTCACCTTTTGGCGTAGAGTTCGAGGTAAACCCTTATTTGAGTCTAATTTAGAGATTAAGAGCTGAAATTCGAGTTATCTAATATGAGTTCTATTTTTTTTTTATCGTGGATCAAGGGCTTTTGCTCGAGCTTCCGAAAAGAGGGTTCAGGGGTAGGTATGCGTACAAAAGATAAACAATTTTACAGCATACAAAACACAACATAGAAATTGAAATAAAGTTAGATGTGGTGTGATTGCCAATGAGAAAATTATCCACCATAGTTTAAATCCAGTGGATGCAAGCAATCATAGGCAACCGTACAGCCTTCAACACACCGTATAGTCGGCTACAAAAGTCCACCACGTGAAAATGTGAAACAATTCAAACGAGAAAACTAATGGTCTAGATTATAGCTAAACAATCTTCGAATAAACAACTGCCCCATGAACGCATGATAAGCCCGTCGTCTTGTGTGTGAATTTTTATGCAATACTAGTAATCATAAATAGTTTCTGACATACGGCGCGACATGCGAAACCCCCCCCCCCCTTTTTTTTAAAAAAACTCAATATCTTATAAATAAAATTTTGAATCAAAACCAAAAAGTATACAGATCTTAAGATTTATATAACTAAGAAGTGTGTAAAATTTTAAGCAATAATCATAAATCGATTTTGAGATACGGCGCGACATGTGAAAACCCCCCTTTAAAAAAAAAAAAAAAAATCAATATCTCTAAAATAAAATTTTGAATCAAAACCAAAAAGTATAAAGATCTTTAGATTAATATAACTAAGAAGTGTATAAAATTTTTAAGCAATAATCATAAATCGTTTTTGAGATACGGCGCGACATGTGAAAAAAACCCTCCCCCTTTTTTTACAAAATACTCAATAACTCAAAAATAAAATTTTGAATCATCACCAAAAAGTATACAGAACTTAAGATTAATATAACTAAGAAGTGTGTAAAGTTTTAAGCAATAATCATAAATTGGTTTTGAGATACCGCGCGACATGTGAAAAAAATACACACACCTGTTTTAGTTACTAAGTCCCGTAACTCAAAAAGTTTTAATCTTATTTTCACCAAAAAGTATACAGATTATTTGACCATCATTAGAAACAACTATGTTAAGTTTCATGAAATTTGGATAAGTCGTTCTCGGTGCGACATGTTTACGCCGGACAGACAGACGGACAGACGGACAGACTACATTTGTATACCATAATACATCCCGTCAAAATTTTGACGGGCGTATAAAAACAAATATGACACACATGAAACAACGACAACCATTGAACTACAGGTTTCTGAATTGGGGCAGGCATTTAAAGAAAGTGCACGCGGAGTTTAACATGTATGTAAGCGCTAATCCCTATCCTAACCTAGTGTATCATAGCACAGCATAAGAAGAAAATGTAAAGACAGTTTTGATTGGCTCAACTAAATAGATCAGTATGACTGGGTAACATAAATCCATCAGCGTGATCTCGGGTGCTTTGGAAGGGTAAGCGGATTCTGCTTAACTTGTGGCACCCGTCGTGTTATTCGTGAAAGAACAAACCCAGTGATTTGGTTTTTTGGTAGTTTACATTCGAGGAAAAGGTGACGGGATTGTGGTTACGACAACTGGAACCGATTCGTCGTCACCTGTGAAACAGATATTTCAAAAAGTTTTTTTTTTCAATTAGAAATTAATCAATTTCAGAAACTGCAATTAATAAAAAAAAGTTTAATATTCATATGTTCAAATGAACATACACGCTAAAAAAAACCTGGAGAATTCTTATTTTATAGAATTGATGCTTTGTTGCTTAGCCCAATACCCCCCAATTTTGAAACATCATTACGTAATGTTAAAGCCATATAAAGAATTGACAAATCATTATTACAAAATAACAAAACCACATCGTGTAATGAAACAACTACATTACGTTATGTAACATACACATCAAGTAATGTTAAAACCACATTGCCTAATGACATAACCACATCAAATAATGGTGAAACCACATCGAGTAATGACAGAACCATATTATGTAATGACAAAACTATATCAAGTCAATACGAAACCATATCATGTAATATCGAAATATCATTATGTAATGACTATTCCATATTGAGTTATATCAAAACATCATTACGTAATGTCAAAACCATATTATGTAAAGACAAACTATCATCAAGTAATAATAGAACACCATAACGTAATATCAGAGTTCCACATATACGGAAGCGTATATGTGCCGTGTCTTTGTGAGTTATTTTCTCCGTTTCACGAGTTAAATATAACGAGTTGCTGACTTACTTCTCAACAACCCGACTTATAAAATCGCACGTTAGTGTCTTAAAACGCAGTATTACAAGTTATATATTACACGTTACGAGTTTGTTTTTTTAACTTCGTGCGATATCAAACTCGTGTTACTCATTTCGATCGCGTTATGCGAGTTTTTCTTTGCCAGTTTGTGTGTTTTTATAACCCGATTACGAGTTGTAGAACTCGAGTTTGTTTAGCCAAAAACACTAACACAAGTTCCGTAACTCGCCTCAATGCAATGTTTGGCGCCTTTTTCATTACCAAACTGGAGAAGCAATGGCGGAGGTGCGTATAAAATATTTCTGTAGAAAATTTAAAGCATAACAAATGTCTGATGTTGGGGTTGGGAGAGTGGAACCTCTTTTTAGCTCACCTTTCCTAAAAGGAAATGTGAGCTTTTCCCATCACTTGGCGTCCGTCGTTGTCGTCGTCGTCTGTCGTCTGGCGTCTGGCGTCGTCGTTAACAATTTTTCAAACATCTTCTCCTCTGAAACTACTGAATGGATTTGGATGAAACTTAGCATGATTGTTCCTGAGGTTATCCTGCACAAAGGTTATGCTTCGATTTTTGATCCGTCAAAAACATGGCCGCCGTTACTTAAAATAGAACATAGGGGGTGAAACAACAGTTTTTTTGCAAATATCTCAAAATTATTAGGTTAAGATAAATTCTGGCAATTTCAAAGTGTTAAGCATGATGAGAGCTACCTTTGTGCAGATTTTCGTGAAAATCTGTCGACTGATGTTTGAGTTATTGTCTTTTTTGACATTTTTCGCTATTTTTGATGTTATTATAGATCTAAAAATCTTCTTCTCTGAAACGACCATTCAAAATCAAATGAAACTAAGTAAGATTGTACTTTAGGGTATCCTACAAAAGGTTTATGCTTGGATTTTTGATTGGTCGAAAAAAATACTTCAAATATAACAGCCACTTTTTCGTCGCTTCAGTATTTAAGATACATTTTTGTCCTATTTACACATGGCCTGGCCGGCCAGGCCATGTGTAAATTATACAACAAATCTATGGCTTGCATGAATTATTTCTTAATCATACTCACAAACAGTTCAACCAAAGCTTTTTAAATATTGATCTGTTGTAACTAATGTGACAAACTGAGGACAAATTAAATTTTAACAATTTTCCACTTTTGTATTTGTTTGACATGTTTGAGGAGTTTAATGATCCTTGAAATGTAGAAAAACTTGCATTATAAAAATAATTGTAAAAAAATCTGTTTGATGTCTGTGAAAGCCTTTTATTTGTTAATTTTTTTCAGAGGAAAAAATGATTGCGATGATTGATAAATTACGTGAAAAAGTTAAAAAAAGGAAACTAGTAAGTATTAAATTTCTGTTAATTTGTTTTTTTATCTCTGGTAAATGAGGACTTGGATGAGTTGAATATCCAGTTTTCTTTTTCTTTTAAGTTCACACAATTTGTTGCATCTTGTATTCATGATAATAATGTCTTGAAAGTAAGATTATTGTACAGTTTTATAGTTCTTTTTTCATTAAGGTCTCTCACATTGTCCCTAAAGCCATACAAAAAAATCGTCATTTGTCCCTCCATTTGGTGTAAACCATTTTAAAGATCTTCTCTGAAACTACAGAACCAATCTCAACCAATCTTCAGCTGCATGATCCCTAGGGTATCTAGTATAAAGTTTGTGATTTAACTGTTACTTAAAAAACATTGGCCACCATGGCTAAAAACAGAATGTAGCCCTGCATGTGTAAAATGCACTTTTTGGCTTGATATGCATAATTCCAACCATAGTAGATTTAGGTGAGCTTCAGAGGCTGTTCAGAGCCTATTACCAACCTTGAGACAGAAAAAGGTTAATAATATCTTGATTTGCATATTTCAGATTGTGAATTATAATTGTTGTTACATATGAAATTACAAAGTTATTTTTGTTTTATGAGCTAAATTAAGGCCTTCGCGACCATACTCCTTTTATAGCAGAAGGGTCATTCATATTGTACATAACAATATTTTAAATCTGTTCTTTCAGGAACCTGCAACACTTGATAGGGAGGTGAACAGCACTAATAGCACTCAAAGCAGTAACTTAAAATTTCATTGTGAGTGGAAGCATTACTCATTTGCTTCCAACGTGTATAAGCAAGTAAAATCCAATTCAAAAAAACTCAAACTAACTGATTGTGGGAGCCAAATTATATTTGTTAAATATAATGCAACATATGAGGAGGTAATAGAGAAGCTTACAGATAAATATTACCCCTGTGGCAGAAGCAAGAAAGGGTCTTTACATAAAATGACACTGAGCTTGGGATCTTTCACTGAAACAATAAACAGAGAAAATTTTTCAGCGTTACAATTCTACAACGAACGTAAAACTTCAGAAGCAAGGATTTACCTGTTGTCTAAGGAAAAGGTGTGTATCTATTAGCTTTGTTTATAAAAAAAATGTTGATTATAATTATTTAATCATGTCTATTTAGAATGGTATTATCAATAAGTAAACCTAAAATATCCTTATAGCTTACTACGTAACATAGTACTGTCCCAGTACAACATGTCCAATATGAATCCTTTCAGCAAATTTGAATATGATATTATTGTTGTTTTGTACCAGTATTTGATAGATTATAGTGTCAGTATAGTGTGTCTTTACATCAATTTTGAGTGCACCTATTTCCCAGCATTAAGTATTCAACTTGTAACAGTAAGTGTCAAGTCCCTCCAAGCCAAGCATTTAATTATACCCCTGCCTCTCATCTTAAGCTATATATATTAGGTGTATACTTAAGCCTGAATTATTTCTAGTAAATTTAATACAGTTAAATATGAAGTGGAGACTTCTAAATTCAGTCATTATAATAAATTTGGTGTAGGAGGATAATAATAGGAAGTATCCTGTCCATCCCTCTGTCCAAATGTCTAATGTAAGTGCAACTACTCCTTTTAAAACTAGAGGTACTGTGTTCAGAGCTCACAAAAATATACTCAGCTCCTTGCAAAGATCATGTTTTGTATTGAAAACCCCAAAGATCAATTTGACCAAAAACCAAATAGGAGGTGCACAATGGCATTATATGATTTAGAATCTCAGACAGTTTCATTAAATTATGATTTGAGTGGTTTAGGAGGAGTTGCGGATACAAAATGCGTACCCCAATTACAATACATACTGACATGTCTAAGGTATTATAATTATTATTACATTGATATGACATTAAGTTAAATCTCTTTGTCTTTTCTTTATGATACATTAAAATATTTTAATTTTGGGGATTCCGTTATATCCTGGGTTAAAACTTTTTATAATAATATAACAGCTGCAGTAACTCAAAACTGTTGTCTGTCAGACATTTTTTTTGTAGAGCGAGGTTGTTTAAGACAAAGGGATCCTTTATCTCCTTATATTTTCTTACTGTGTGCTGAAATATTAGGCAAATTGGTGAGAAACAATGAGGAGATAAAGGGCATTACTATAGATGATACAGAATTTAAATTGTCTCAGTATGCAGACGATACTGCTTTGATTGTAGACAGCTCCTCTGAGTCGCTCTATGCATCTCTTTGTGATCTCCAATTTCATGCTGAAATCTCAGGACTAAAAATTAATATAGAAAAAACAAATGTTATTTGGATAGGTAGTAAAAAACAGTCAAAATCAAATTTGTGTTAAGTGGGGATTGAAATGGGTACATTTCAACTTCTTGGAATTACTTTTTCAGTTGACCTTGATAGAATGGTTAAGCTGAATTACAAGCCAGCTTTGGAATCTATAGATAATACACTTAACATTTGGTCAAATATAAAAAAAGAAGATTTGGTGTAATATAGGATTAAACACATTTTTAGCTCAGCTGGCCTATGTGAGCTTATGTCATCACTTGGCGTCCGTCGTCGTCCGTTGTCCGTCGTCGTCGTAAACTATTTCAAAGATCTTCTCCTCTGAAACCACTGGGCCAAATACTTCCAAACTTTAACATAATGTTCCTTAGGGTTATCTAGTTTATAAAGTGTATCCATAGTTTTGATTCATTGACAAACATGGCCGCCATAGCTATAAATAGAACATGGGGGTCAAATGCAGATTTTGGCCTATATCTCAAAAACTATAGCATTTAGAGCAAATCTGACACATTGGTAAAAATGTTCAATAGGTCAAAATCTATCACCCCTGAAATTCTCAGACCAATTGGACAATCCATTGTTGGGTTGCTGCCACTAAAATGGTAATTTTTAGGAAAATTTTCAGTTTAAGGTTATTATCATGAATATTATAATAGATAGACAGAAAGTGTAAATAGCAAAAATGTTAAACAAAGTAAGATCTACAAAAAAGTTCGAATGACCAAAATTGTCAATTGACCCCTTAAAGAGTTATTACCCTTTAAAAACAATTTTACACAATTTTGTCATCATGTTTGCTAACATTTAAAAATCTTCTGCTCTGATGCAGACTACTTGGCCAAATACTTTGAAACTTTAACTGTATACAAAGTTTTGATTCATTTACAAACATGGCTGCCATAGCTATAAATAGAACATAGGGGCAAATGCAGATTTTGGCCCATATCATAGAAACTAAAGCATTTAATTAGAACAAATCTTGACATGGGTTAAAATGTTCATTAGGTCAAGATATATCACCACTGAAATTTTCAGAAATAATTGGACAATCCATTGCTGGGTTGCTGCCACTAAAATGGTAATTTTAAGGAAATTTTGCAGTTTTAGATTATTATCTTGAATATTATGATAGATAGAGAGAAAGTGTAAATGGCAAAAATGTTCAGCAAAGTAAGATCTGCAAATAAGTCAAATGACCAAAATTGTTAATTGACCCCTTAAGGAGTTATTGCCCTTTAAAGACAATTTTACACAATTGTGTCATCAACACAATCATATTTGCTAACATTTGAAAATCTTCTGCAGCCGCTCTGAAACTACTTGGCCAAATACTTTGAAACTTTCACTAAATGTTTCTCAGGTTATTGAGTTAATGAATTATATCTGAAGTTTTGTTCATCGACAAACATGGCTGCCATGTCTAAAAGAAGAACATAAGGTCAAATGCAGTTTTTGCAGCTTATTGATGATTTAACATGTTTAAAGGAAATTTTGCAGTTTTAGGTTATTGTCTAGAATATTGTTATAGATAAAGATAAACACCAAAAATAATCATTGATGAAAGATTTAAGCAAAAAATTACAGGTGAGCGACTCAGGCTCTTGAGAGCCTCTTGTTTCTAGAGGTAATTGATGTGTAAACTCGGTCTGTTAACTCACAAACTGAAGTAAAGTCTGAAGGACTTTTATGATAAGTTTGTGAGTAAGCGACCCAGTTTACACATAAATAACCTATAGAAAAAATGTGTTTAATCCTTATAATTCTTAATCCTTACATTATTTATTATTTCTTCTTAATTTAACTTTCTTTTCGCCCCCAAATTCCATTCATGTGTACCACATGAATAATTATGTTATTCTATTCTGAATACCTTTATTTACATACATGTTGTTGCTTATTAGGGCCCTGCCAAAGGTGGGTCGCCCTATAGTGATCAGTCTGTCCGTCCGTCTGTCCGTCAGTCTGTCCGTAACAAAATCTTGTCTGCTCCATATCTTGAAAACCGTTATGATTTCAAAGTTTAAGCTTCACATGTATATTGACCAACACCAGAGGGTGTGTCATAATGTATGTTCAACTTTGTAGGTCAAAGGTCAAGGTCAAAAACTTAGGTTTTAGTATAGAACCCCATGTCCTGTGGGAAAGATCCTGTCTGCTCCATATCTCAAGAACCGTTATGATTTCAAAGTTTATACTTCACCATGGGCAACAGCATTCTTAAGTGGTAGAAAACAACAAGTACGGGTAAACAGCAGCTACTCAGAATTCAAACAGGTGACAAGCAGCATCCCTCAGGGCAGTGTACTGGGACCAATATTGTTCGTCATTTACATTATTACGTCGTTTAAAGCATTAGCAAGGCCTAACCTCGAATATGCAAACGCTATATGCCATAATATGTATATTGACCAACACCAGAGAGTGTATCATAATGTATGTTCAACTTTGTAGGTCAAAGGTCAAGGACAAAAACTTAAGTGTTAGTATAGAACCCGATGTCCTATGGGAAAGATCATGTTCGCTCCATATCTCGTGAACCGTTATGATTTCAAAGTTTATACTTCACATGTATATTGACCAACACCAGAGGGTGTGTCATAATGTATGTTCAACTTTGTAGGTCAAAGGTCAAGGTAAAAAGACTTACATTTGGGAATCCCATGTCCTATGGTAAAGATTGTGTCTGTTATGGACAGCGGGGCCCACTGTGATGGCTCCCATTTCACTGATATCTAGTTATTTCAATAAAGCTTATTCATTATAAAAAAAAGTTAATCAGCTATTTTGTGTGTGTCAATTCCTGCCTGGACATTTTGGGCTGATCATTTTGATGTATCATGCTGCATTTTGTAAATCAAAGGATTGGTAATATTGGCATATTAATAAGTTACTGTAGTTGATTATCAGCCTATTTAAAATTTATCAAATCACGTAAACATTGTGCATTTGTTTTTACAGATACATGACATGCTTGCCATAACCGATTCCGATTCTGATGAATTGGAAAGTTTAGGATTTCCCGGAAACATGTCCCCACCAGAGCCTGAAATAATACTAGGAGTTGGAAAGCCTATGACATCTCCAGCCATGAATGTTCCTTTTAGATCATCAACACTAGGAACACCGAACATTGCAACTCCTCAGGCAATTGTTTCTAGTAGAACACCTACACTAGGAACACCCACACTAGGAACACCCACACTAGGAACATCAATAGGAGCTTTTGGTGGAACACCAATAGGTGCTACTGATACAAACAAACCTATTGTATTTCATGCTGATACACCTACAGTAAGTTTTCTATATAGGAACAAGCTAAGCATTTTATCATTTAACTCTTTAACCTTTTTTAAAAAACTTTGGCACATGTTTCTATATTTTTATACACTCCCCAAAAAACAAAAGTTTTGGGGGGTTTATAGGAATCACCCTGTCCGTCTGTCTGTCTGTATATGTCTTGTAAGCGCAACTACTCCTTTATGAATGGACCAATATTGATGAATCTTCACACAGTTGTAGTACATGATATAAGGATGTGCATGAAGGAAAATATTTCTGGTAGGAATTATTTCAAGGGAGATAATTGAATCTACTGAATTAAATATAGCAATAAATGGCAACAAGTCTTGTAAGCGCAACTACTCCTAAACAGATAAATCAATATTGATGAAACTTTACACAGTTGTTGTACACAACCTGTAAACGTGCATGAAGGAGGATATTTCTGGTCAGATTTTTTTCAAGGGAGATAATTGAAATCACTTAGTTTAAATATCCAATATTTGGCATTTAGCACAACTCCTCCTAAATGACTGGAGTAATATTAATTAAACGTTACACAGTTCCAGTACATGACCAGAGAATGTGCATAAAGGAAGATATTCTTGGTCTGAAATATTTAAAGGAAGATAATTAACTTGCTTTAAATAGATGTAGTTATATTTTTCTGGTTTCTACACACTGACTTAAAATATGCAAAGAGAGATAAATCTAATTATTATTAATTTTAAATTTTCTTTTATTTAAAGTCATAAATAGTAGTTACACATTCCTTTTGTGTCAGAAACTTCTGTTGTGTTAACTATTTAATCACAATCCAAATTTAAAGCTGCATGTATCAAGCTTGAATGTACCGTAGTGTAGTAAAAATGCCATAATGGGATGGGGTATCCTTAGTGAGTTGGCTCACAGTTTTATGCAATATTCACTATCCACACTCATCTGTGTTCACTCTTGTTATTAATTGATAGCTGTGAATTATTCTCAAGAATTATAAGCTTAAAAGAGGTGACTTGATTATCATCCAATGATACCCTGACGACATAATAGTAAATGAAGTATAACCAACATAAAAAACACTACACAATTAAATACATTATATGATATTTCTCAACTCTTGTCCAAGCCTCAGGTTTGTCAAGTTCTGAAGAGAAATATTGATTTTAATAAAAAAAAATCATATTAAATTGATAGACTTATTTCATTTAGAACTTTTAGTTGTCTAAATATCAACAGATTTGACATGTATATCTTAAAGTCATATGAAAAGAGTTGATGGAAAAAATTATGTTCCCTAAATTATTCATCCAATACATGCACATATACTAAACTAAGACCTTTGTAATATATTTTCACTTTTTATATTGAGTGTAATGTGTAATTTACAAACAAAATAATGCGTTTGTTGATTTTATATGGAAACCATCTTTCCTAATTAAACTTAGTGACGAACTTGCGATGTTCTCTGACACGTTTATATTGATAAACAATCGACAAAAGTGTGCACTGAAAGCATGTGGTTAATAAGTGTGACAATTGAGCTGTGTTGATTAATCCATTTTTAAAATATTTTCTGCGTGTTTTTGTTTGTTAATCAACCTTATAAAACTGTTTTAAAACAAATTTGTGTATAAAAAGATTTCTTTCATCATCGATCAAAAAATATGTCTTAATTTCCAATGAATGTTGGTTTATTTTTAATTTAATTTTAATATTGTACTTGCGCAGTAACGGCTTTCACATTGTTTAAGAGGAATATCATGCATACGGAAAAGCATTCGTTGAATATCAGATTAATTACTTGCTGGAAGTAAATAATTCAGAAGCCGTACATTTCATAAAGTTTTACAATAAAACACAAGAGTTTTCACTAAAAGAAGTATATGGATAAAGGTTAACTATTTAGTTTAAAAAAACATGTTCAACTTTTTTTTTCAACAACTCGTTTCATATGACTTTAAGATTGCACATGTACATATGTAGTATATATACATGCTCTACAAAATAAACTTTAATATTTTCGTACGACTGATGCAGATTTAATTGAGTTGAATCCTTTGTGAAAGGCCGCTGCCTGGATATATTGGTTTCTATTGATAACAACAAATGACAAACAACATCCATTCAATATTAAAACTATATATGACATCTTGAGTGAGATACCATGGAACATGCAACACTCTCCTGCCTTAACTACATTTGGAAATCTATCAATTATAATAAAATTATATTATTCAGATCAAGTAAAGTATACACAAATTTTGCTTGCTGATTAATGATGTTATATTTTAGCTTTGGTATTTTTTTTTTTAGGTTACATTCTCATATGACAGACGCTGTCAGATCTGTGTGGACCGGGAAAGGGATGCCTACCTGTCACCTTGTGGTCACACATTTTGTCTTGTCTGTGCATTGCAAGTTGAAAATATGGGGCAAAACTGTCCATCCTGTAGGGGGGAAATTGACAAAGTGTGTTCCATGTTTCTATAAGTTGTTATTCATGTTGATAGATTGTACTTTTTTGTAATAGGAGTGTAAATGTAAAATGATATTATGTTTGCAAGTATTAGACAAATATATATGCTGGTTCAAAGAATGAGGTAGAAAGATGTAAGCAAATGTTTTTTTTTTCTTTTCAAAGTGTGAAAAAGCATTAAATAATGTTATTTAATGAACTGAAGTATATTAAGGTAAAAAATTACTTATTTTTACTTCATCTACAATTTAGGTATGTGAAATGTTAAAAAAACTTCCTTTTCACGAAATTCAGTATTAATGACTATTCGGGGACTATTCTTTTAATCACAAAATTTATGTTAATAGAAAATTGTCGGAAATTGTAGTCAGTGTGTAGTGTCCATAACCATCCGAATTCTTGTAAAAAAGTGTATTTTAAAGATTTGTCTTTTCAGAAATTCATTTTTTAATCATTCCTGAAGTGAACAGCACTTCTTCTGTTTAGATATGTTTAAAGTTTTACTTCAGATTTGAAATTACTTAATTTGTCCTGTCAATGTCAATATGTCTTGTTTGTTTTCATTGAAATAGCTTTAATTACATAAATTCATTTATAATCCAGCAGCATTTTGGTGTTAAAAATGTAAACATTAATAGAAAAATACACTAATTTGATATTTTACCTTTGAAAAATGGTTCTTGAAGTGATTAACTTTTAAGAGTTCATTTTGTAAGAGATCCATTTTCAAACAGTGATTTAAATTCCCATGATTAATAGGTAAAATCCTGATGGTTTGATGGATTACATGTATATAATCTCTCATTTTAAGAGCTGTGCAGTTATTATAACATTCCTATTTTTTTTACTTTGCAAGATAGGGGTGTTACATTGTAAAATGTGAACCATGTTTTTTTTCTCTGTGATTTTTATACCCCTGCTTTGTACAGCAGAGGTATATAGTAATGGGGAAGTCCGTCCTTCTGTTTGTCTTGTCCCTTCCTTTGTCCCTTCGTCCGTCCCGTACAATGTGTTTCTCTTTGTTTCCGCAACTCTTCCTTTAAACCACTTATCAGAATGAAAGAAACTTTTTCAGATTCTTTATGATATAATGCCATTGTGCACCTATTTTGTTTTTGTTCAAAATCATTTTGGGTGTTTCCATTTCAAAAACATGGACTAAAAATACATGAAATAGGGAGTACCCATGTTGTATCTGTGCAACTTCTCCTAAACCACTTATTATAATTTAATAAAACTTTCTCAGATTCTTTATGATATAATGCTATTGTGCACCTCCTATTTTTTTTTTTTTCAAAATAATTTTTTGAGTTTTTATTTTAAAAACGTGGACTTTTCCATTGCCTTATAATTGGGATACTCATTTTGTATCTGCAACTCCCCCTAAACCCCTAATCATAATTTAATGAAACTGAGATTTTAATCAGCAATTGTGCACCTCCTATTTGATTTTTTGTCAAATTGATATTTTGGGTTTCCAATACCAAGACATAAACATTACAAGGAACGGGGGTATAATTTTGTGAGCTCTGATCACAGTACTTCCAGTTGGTTTTGTATTTTGTTAATTAGTTGTATAAGAATCATTATAAGTTAGGCTCAACAGGTATGATAGATAATTTAAAATACATAAGTATTAAGAGGTTATATTTACAAGTAGTGTCTGTAACCAGCACTTACCTTACTGTTTACAAAGGATATTTAAACAACAACTCATTGTTTTTCCCACTAACCAAATTTCATGTATTTAGGTTAACAAATGATTTTTTTTATTGTTAACTTTTATTTTTGACCACAAGTAACTGTCCCCTTAATTGTGTTTTACCCAAATAAATCAGTTGATTACTTATAAGACCTGGATCCTTCATATATACTATAGATGCTTTATGTTATGAACTTTCAGTCTGTTGTTCATTTTCCTCATTTTAAATAGTTCAGTGATTTTTTGAAAGAAAGTTGTTCATTGGATGTTATTTTTTCTATTATTGTGAATTATAAGATGTATTTGTGGTTTCTTGGAAAATCCTTGTGCCTGTAAAGACAGTTTTCACATTACCTCATTTCATGGATCAGTGAACTAGTTAGTTTGCATTGGCCAAGTCCATATATTTAGTACAGTATATGGAATTATTGTAAGGTGTACTGCATGTTCTACTATAGTGTTGACCATGACCTCATTTTCATGTTCAACTGATAGAAGTTAATATTTTGTGGTTTAGTCTAGTTTTGAGATACGAAGAAGTCATTATATCATATTATATCCGGTTAATGGAATGGTTTTGAAGGTCTACATGTTTGTTTAGCAGTAATTGTCTGACCTTGACCTCATTTTTATGGTTCAGAATTTTTTTTCCCTATTTGATCTGGTTTTTTTGTCAATTGACCCCTTAAGGAGATACATGTATTACCCTTTTAAGACATTTTTTTTCACAATTTGTTCATAATGTTTGGTAACATTAAAAAAAATCTCCTTTAAAACAGCTGGATCAATTTCAGCCTAGCCTGAATGAGTTTCAGGGTATTTAGTATTTAATAAGTTAATGTTAATGTTGTACGTCATGAAACATAGCTACTATGGCTTAAATAAAACATAAGGTTTAAATGATTTTTTTTTGTCTTTTGAAAAAAACATGATAGTTAAAATAGCCTATTTAAGGACACAGTATACATTAAAAACCAAATTAATCAGTGATGAAAGATTTCAGCAAAACATTACAGGTGAGGGATTCAGGGTCAGTTAAACCAGTTTCACAGATACTTTAAGTGATAAATCAATTATATCTATTGAATATTTGTAAGTTGTCTGTCTTACAGGTTTCATCTTGCCTTGACCATATTTTATGCTTTATTGGGAAAAATTAAGGTTTTTTTGTTCAATGATACTTAAAGTTTTAGGTTAACTAAATTTGGAATGATTGCAAAGCCTACATGTCTGCCTAAAAGATTTAATCTCACCTTGACCACTTCTACACAGGTACATGTAATTGAAATGATAATGTAATACTTAAAAGTATTGAAATACATGTATGAACACTTATACAGGCAAGACATATCGCTGTGTCCACTCTTGATACATTTTATATATAAACTGTTAACTTTGTTAATTGATTGTTTTCAGCTAACAATATTTGTTTTTGTGATATTTTGTTATATTTATATAATGCAAGGTATGCATGCAAGCATTGTTCTGTGATTTTTTTATAGGACTGACTGGTAAAAATTTGCATTCTTATTATGGCCATGATGTTGTTAATGTTGTCTGTAGACTTTTGGTTACATCAAGCTTTACAACGCATTTTATTATTTACATTTAAACACTTTTTTTAACATTTATATGCTGCAAAGTATGCATGATTTTTTATATGATTTTTTATATTGTGGAATGTATGCAAGTTTTTATGATCGGATTTAGAGATGATAAAGTGATTAAAAGAGAAAAAAATCTGATGTCTTTCTATATATTTTGTGACTTGGCCAAACTTCTATACATGCATTGAAACACACATAGTCATAAAACACACAACAGATTTGTTAAATGAATATCATGGATGGACTCTATTCCCTTCTCAATCAAAGTCATGATGGGGGTCATTTAAGGGTTTATCCCAGTTGATCTACTGTGCAAAGTAACCTTTTTCCCAATTGATACTCTATATTTATATCCAATACAGTTTTTGTTTGTTTCAGTTGTTATGTTTGAGCACTTTTAAGATTTTCCAAATACCAACTTCCTGTTTGGTGATACTTTGAAGAATTTTCAATATGCTAAATGAACTTTAAAATTTTTCGTCAAACACTTCTTTAATATAAATGAGCTAAATGACTTCATACTTGGCCACCACCTTACAGTGATGAGTTGTTATGTTTGAGCACTTTTCAGATTTTTCAAATACCAACTTCCTGTTTGCCGATAATTTGAAAATTTTCAATAGGAAAAATGAACTTCAAAATTTGTTTTCTCAAACACTTCTTTAATATGAATGAGTGGAAAGACTTCATACTTGGTCACCAGCTTGACAGTGATGAGTTGTAATGTGTGAGTACTTTTCAGATTTTTTTCAGATACCAGCTTCCTATTTGCTGATATTTTGAAATCTGAATATGCAAAAGTGAGCATACAATTATACCCAAACTCTATACATGCAGTTATTTTACCCCCACTCAAGTCTGATAATTAACCTTAAGAAATTAATTCAAAACTTCTGCATCTTAAACATGATTTTAATATCTTATATATACAACACGATAATTATACCATGTCAGCCATTCTACTAAATAAGTCGGATGTCAGGGTGATATACTTAACACAACACGGTGTGCAACTTCTGGTTTTTATTGGTGGGATCTAAGGCAAATCACCCTGTTTGTCCTGGTGTCTTGCTTTTGCGCCAATTGGTAATTCATTTGCGCTACAAACCATACTTTATTTGGGCCAAAATAAAATCAAACCATACTTCAAAGTTTGCGCCAATTTTACAGGTAAACACAGGTAAATTGTAAAATATATGAAACATAGACTAAGTAGATTAAATAACTGAATGATTTTTTTTTGCATTAATTCCTCATAAAATAATAAAGACATATTCAAGTTAAAGAGGGGGGGGGGGGGGGGGGGTACAGTAACAGTTAACAGCAAATACATTCTCACAATAACAGATAACAAAAAAAATGATAGTTCTATAACAGCTACATAGAATTGTCAATTACAGATAACAAATTCAAATTCAAATCTTTATTGTCATTACACCATAAACATAGTATGTGACACAGAAAATATATTTTCAGAATAACATAACACAGAATTAAATTGGCTCAGAACAGCATAACAGTTATACCCCTTGCCCTTCCCCCCTTCTTTAAAATATATTTAAAACCTATTTGCAATATATTTAAAAAACATCTTCTTTAAAATCAAAGCACTAAACACTGGTTTTAAAAAATGATAAAACATGTTCTAAAAATGATTTTGCCATCAGATTCCCTTGTGTGTATGTTCCGGACCATATGCGTATGGTCCGGTTTACCAAAACGATGAATATAGAAATCTATAATAATATTATTTTTTTAGGTATGACCCTTCGATCTAAAAAAAATATGAGATTTTGATAATGATTTCTTTTAGTTTTTGAGTAAAATGGTCGTAATTATTAACGATTAATTAATTAAATAAAGTGACGACGAATGACCAAGTGAATTTTACTCACAAACAAATTATATTGACCACAATTATACATGGTCATTATCAATTTGTCGTACACTATGGTGACTTGGGAAGAAAATTTCACCAAATTCTTAGCTAAAATGTTAGAAAAAAATCAACTGTTCTGCTCGCAGATGAAAAGTCAGCAGGATAAAGTCATTTTTATTCAACAATAACAAAGGAAATTCAACAGAAACGCCCAGATTCAGGCAATATATAAAGGAGAACAGCTTTCAATTTGTATCATGCAGCCGCAAAAAAAGAAAAAAAAATGCAGGAAAGCAATGGTTCCGTGTGGAAGTAAATGTCACACTAAACGTACATGCCAAAATTCCATTTATGACTTTTTCATTTT